TACAAAAAATAACTATTTTATTTTGTAGATTTTCTTGCAGTGCAGTGGCGAAATAGCCATAAAGGATTTTTTTGGATAGTTTTTTTTAGATGATTGCATTATAATTTTCATTGTCAATTTTCTAAGAAGTTATAGCAACAATTTAATTTAATTAATTTCTATAACATATTATTGATTAAAACATTTATAAAATAATTTTTCTCTTAATTGACATCGCTGAATAACGTTTCCGAGTTTAACTAAAAAAGTATGGGAAAAAATATTGATTTGGCAATTATTTTTGGCCGCATAGTTTTAATGCGTCTAATGGACAATATTTCAGATATTTATTTATAGTCAGATATTACTCGAGAGTATATCAAAAATGTTATATATATATTTTTAACGTGAAACGAAAAATTTAGTACTAAAAGGGTCCATTAAAGGAAAAATGAACTGAAACGAAAACATCCAGGTTTTTATAATTCCATTTTAAGCGGAAATTATGCAAATCATCAAAGATGTGTATTAGTCTTTTTAACTTTTAGCTCTCTAATCCGTAAAAAACCTTCCAGGGAACAATTCCAACTTACGACATTAAAACATTAAGAACTTTTAAAGTAACTTTTTCTTCGGAATGCTGAAGTCATTAAAAATGGAGTGTAAAAAAGACTAATATTAATTAATTATCCATGCAAGTCAACAAAGTTTATGTCGAAGAAGTTAGCTGGTCCCTTAATAATGGAGACTTCTTTTTCACTTGATCTTGGCGGGACTGTGGCATTTTTTCGCTGTGAGATTTTTTCACAGACTATTATTTTCCACTGAAGTCGTTTTGGCTAGATTGAGTTTGAATATAATGAGACCCGCGGCATCTATAACCTAAGACTTTTTTGAAAATTAAAACACGCCTAAAACTGAAAGAATAATCATGTAATACTATTTCAATTTTAACGTTCCTTTGTTAAAATTGCTCTCAGTTTTAAGTTCGTTGTTTTTTTAACGCTAAACATAGGCTTTTAGGTTAATAGAGACTTTTAAGACCGAACTGAGTTCAATCTATTGGTTGGTCTGAATTGTATTCGGGAAACTTCTTGGCAGTATATTAAGTAGATAAAAGTAAGTAAAACAAATCTTATAAACATCGACATTTGGATGAAAATTTGTATTTGGGATCAATCCTACTTGCAGAGAGCGCCACCTACATGTTTTTTAACTGGTTTGAAGAGTAATAACTTTTCATTCTTACCTGTATATAACTACTGTGAAAAACATGTACATTTCCGCCGTTTTTTTACGTAAAAAAGGTCCCTTGGTAAAAAAATCGCTACGAGTAAGGGTTCTCGAGATGTTTGGAATCAATACATGATAATTATTAGACTGAAATAGTAAATTTGAAATGTTTTGTGTCAAAGGTTTAACAGAAACCGTTTTATCATATTTTTTTTCTAAGAAAAATTTATTATTCATTCAAAGAAATACATAGTTTTCACATTTAGTCAAATAATTATCTACAGGATGAGTCTTATATAAGTGCAAATATTTTCACGGCTGGTAGATCTCGATAAAAGAACCATATTTTCTCTTTACTATTTTTCAAATAAATCCGAGTTATATTACTAATTACCGAGTTATAAATACTATATAACCGAGTTATTTTACTTTGAACTTTTTTTGAATTTCTAAAAAAAAAATATTTTTTGCTTAAATTTTGAGAACCTTTTTTGGGTTTTCTTTCTTGTAAATTTAATCTACTACCTATGTTGCCATATTATAAAGAAATTATGTTTTTTAACTAAAAACTAACAAAAAACGCAAAAAATTTCAAATTTTCAATTTTTTTTTTCGCGAAAATAACCTTATAATCTTATTTCTAGGGTCGAAATATATTACCCTTAAAATATTTGCACTTATTTAGACTTACCCTGTATATTCAATTTGTCAATAATGACATGTAGGTATTGACTACTTTCAATCTAAATATCTTGAGAATGGTTGCTCGAAGCGATTTTTACTAAATGATCTTTTTTACGTAAAAAATTACGGAAATGTATATTTTCAAACATACATCGTTTATAGTTCAAAAATTATTTGGAAAACCCGAAATAAAAATGAAACTTCAATAGTTGTATATAAATAAAAATGAAACTTCAATTTCTGTATTTTCAAAACAAAGCATTTTAGGACATACATTATTATAAAGCAAAAAAAAAGAAAAGTTACGAACTTTTTTACTTATATTTATCTGCTTATACTGCCGAAGTTCCCCGAATACAATTCGGACCACCCTGTATAAAAAATCCAGTTACATTCCGAGAAATTGAATTATCCCTACATTAGAGATGTGTGGTCCCTGTATATTATGTTTTTTTCGATAAATGATTGTGGGTAATAATTTTTAACTAAAGCTTGCTTTATATGTCTGATGCATTTGTTAATAACTATATCACTGAATGTGGTTTTTGCAAATGAACAGTGCTTTCCATAAAAACAATAAAATGAAAAATATACGAAATAATATAAATATACTGATTTCTTTCGAAAATCGACAGCTATGAAACTATGAACTCTTCCCGGACACAAACGGTACATTGTGAAACAGGAAATTGTAGAGAGAAACAAGCCGTATAACATAGGATAAAACATTTTAATGAACAGAGTCTTACATGAAATCAATAAAAGGAAAAATATACGAAATAATTAAATGTACTGATTTCTTTCGAAAATCGACAACTATGAAACTATGAACCCTTCCCGGACAGAAACGGTACATTGTGAAACAGGAAATTGTAGAGAGAAACAAGCCCTATAACATAGGATACAACATTTTAATGAACAGTGCTTTCCATAAAATCAATAACATGAAAAATATACGAAATAATATACACGTACATATTTCTTTCGAAAATCGACAACTTTGAAACTATGAACCTTTCCCGGACACAAACGGTACATTGTGAGACAGGAAATTGTAGAGACAAACAAGCCCTATAACATAGGATACAACATTTTAATGAACAGTGCTTTCCATAAAATCAATAAAATAAAAAATAATCGAAATAATATAAATATACTGATTTCTTTCGAAAATCGACAACTATGAAACCAAACCTTTTTACAGGTACTAATAATATATTTATTTTGATTATTGGTCTGTCGCATTTACACCATTAGTAATTAGTATTAAACCTACAATACAATATCAGTAATTATTGTCTTTATTAATTAGCATTAAAAGTCTAGCATTAAAATCATAAAATGGAGTAATAATAATAATAGTAAAAAACTGATTGAGTTTGGAAAGAAATTACCAAGTTATAAATACGTATCTAAATATTTTATATTTTAAAGTGTTTAAAAATTAATAAACAATTAATTTGACCAAGAGCTTTTATAGTACGAATTCAGCTAAACCTTCTGGGAATAGCCCAACTAAAAGAGACACTTAAAAAATCGAAATATCTGATATATTATGTAGTGACTTTGAACAGGCATGTAGCTATTAAATGGTCGTATGTGTTTAAAGCGATTTAAAGTGCTTCTATACAGGGTCCGGCAAGAGTGCATCGGGTATCTGTAGTTCGTAAAATAATTTTTTTATTTCATGTAAATTTAATCTACTACCTATGTTGCCATATTATTAAGAAATTATATTTTTTAACTTAAAACTAAAAAAATTTACCTACCACTTAAAATACTTGCACTTATTTCTGGGACACCCTGTATAATCCTCTTTAAAGATATTTTTAAATATGTTATAATATAATTTCAGAGATATTAAGAAAAAATAAAACATATATTTTTTTCTGCCTTTTAAAAAAAAATATTAAAAATACAAGAAGTGTCCAGAAATCAAAACTATATTAGGTATTTACTTTGAATAGTCTTAACAAAAAATCCTATATGGGTATTTCGCCACTGCAAGAAAATTACTTGTCAGTTAGGTTTACAGATATACAAATTTGCCTAACGAACAAAAAAATGCTTAACGTTTCGGAAAGTTTATCTCTTTCTCCATCTCCGTCGTCGGAAGCAAAAAAATACAAAGAATAAAGAAAAAACTGTTTAAAATATTTAAATTCAACTATTCTAGAACACTTTAGTTTTTTAAAACAGATCCGTCTACAAAAACCGTTGACGTTCTATTAAAATGACATTATATCAAGTTAAACTTCAAAATTATCAATTACTATCTGATAACAATTACTTAATAAGGTAAAACCAAAAAGCCCCAAACTTTTTGTATGATTATTTTTAATTTTTACGTATGTTATGTGTATTTATGTTATGTTCTTTAAAATCAAAGAAGCGATTATCATACATTACTAACATCTACAGATGCATGAGCAATACATTTATTTTTATTAGATTGTATTAAAAAAGCCTCTTTTATTTATCTTTTAGAGGCCATCGCTTCTTTCATTATAATTTTGGCGTTATTAAAATTTATTCTGTGCCCTGTGTCCCATCAATCCTGACAAATCTTAGATTTGTGAAAATCTCCCTATCTTAAATAATCTTTATGTTCTTAAAAAAATATTTTTTTTTATTAAAGTGTTCTCGAATAGTTGAATTTAAATATTTTAAATAGTTTATTTTATTTTTTATTCTTTATATTTTTTTTTGCTTCCGATGAGGGAAAGAGATAAACTTTTCGAAACGTTAAGCATTTTTTTGTTCGTTAGGCATATTTGTATATCTGTAAACCTAACTTCTGATAAGTAATTTTCAGAAGATTTCATAGGATTTTTTGGAGAGATGAATCCGCCACATAGATATAGACATTTTTTATGGTCTTATTTACTTTGCTATAAATATCGTAATCTTTTATCATACAGGTTGTTCAAAACTCTACACCAAACGTCCTAAAATATAAAACCTTTTTTTTTAATTTTTTTAAACGGAACAACATTTTTTTAATAGATGTATAAGCAAAAAATTAATACTTTTTGTATTTAGTGTATTTCAAAATTTTAACGGCTGTAGAAAAACACCCTGTAGAGAAATTAATATTTTTGTACCTTTTCTTTTTCGTACTGTGATTTCCTGACTATCTCCGCGTCTCCACATGATCTTCGGTGTGGGAAATCCTTCTGCTTTGCAAGTTAGGCTTACATTTTGATTTTCTCTCACTGCCACGCTGGAGGGGGTACTTAGGCTGTCTATTATGTTTGGAGGAACTGAAAAAAATATAATAAAAAATAACCACTTGTTGTGGCTAAAATGAGGAGCATAATATTGCATTTCTTTAAAATAAAACTATTGGTTTTTATATTTTTGGTAATTATTATCACTTTTCTAATGGAAGTCTTCACTTATGGAAGAAATTTAATTATATCCAAATCTAGAATGCCATGCACTTTATCTAAAGAAGAAATCATTCGACCGATGTGTACTACCAGTCATGAATGCAGGTCGCGCAAGGCTCAATGGAACGAAATATGCTTGGAATAACCAAGAAAAACAGTTGGAAACAGATGGACCACAAAAAATACAGCATGGTACCCACGAGGTATAGAAGACCAAACCTGAGATAGACCTAGAAGACCAAACCTGAGATGGGACCATGATATTAGGAACTTGGGCCCGCATAGCTAACAATAGATAACAGTTGAGGGTTGGAACCTTTTGTGTTACACAGCAAAATAAAAACATCAGTTTTATAATTATCTGCTGATGATGCTAACATGGTTAGCGAAACGCGCGTCCAGTGTAAAAGTAAAAGTGTTTTGGTGTATTGTGGTGATTTAGTGTTTTTATTTTGCTAACAATAGATAACCAATGGGCTCAACTACAAAGGGATTATCTAAATATGTGAGGGAGGCTACACCATAATTGGCAATGGTTGAATAAGCTGAAAATGGTGATGATGATGATGATGATGATGATGATGATTATCACTTTTCTAGGTTTGGACAAGCAATTAATTAAGAATAAAATAAAATAAGGATTTTATTTGTTTTGCTATTAAATATTTTAAATATCAGAGCTTTTTTGCAGAAGGTATTTTAGTAACAATAAAATTAAATTCTTTTACGAGAACGGAAATCGTTAGAATCTACAAATTCTTAATGTCAATCACTTGAATTGAAATCAATATAGGACAAAGAGTTCAGTGCATTATTTATCTTGGTTAGTGAACAATGCAATTTATACGAAGCTAAACATTAGTTTCGGTAGTTTAAGCTGTTTAGGAATTTACTCGCAAGAGATATAAGCAAAATAAAGTAAGAAAAGACGCTTTGAAAGAGTATTCAAATAAAATATTAACTCGCCAGGAATTTTCGATAAAAATTTTATACATTTATATAACAAAAATATTAACAAGATTATTAAAATCCAATACTCACCAACAACTTGCAAGTACCCAACTTGACTTATCATAGGATTCGTATTAACTTGACACATGTAATAGCCTCTATCTTCCTTATGAACGTTATTTACATGCAACAACCATGTTTTGGCATTGTCATGTGACACACTGAAGCGTGGTATTCTACTTATGACATGACGATGTATTGTCAAAATCATCTGCCTATCTATATGAATCCATGCAACCTGGAACAATAAATATTAATCAAAATATAAATATATATGTATTTGATATCAATTAAACTTTTAGTTAGGTAATAGAGGGCGCGATTTTTAAATTCCTTGTTGTCAACCATGGATATATTCGGAGCTGGGCTGACTAACTGGAATTTAAATTTCGCGCTGGAGATTCAGGTGATAGCTCTGCTGTAAAGAATGTCAAGTTGCCAGATTTATTTATTTCCTGACATTGTCATTCATTTTGACGTTTTAGTTTTGTATTACGTTTAAATAAATAGTGTTGTGATACTTTAAGCTTAAAAAATGTTTACTAGCAGACCTTGCAGTCGAACATTGATCTTTTTAGAACCTCTTTTAGAGCGAAGTGCACAAGGTAGCTTAACAGCCGTAAAAACTCATCGCAACTTTATAAGAATATTTTGAACGGGAAAGCGTTAGTAATGGCCCTTTATGTCCTTTAAGTGCTGTTAAGAAGGTGAGTTTTGTTGATGTAAATAATAACTGTTTATGTATTTATAATTAATTTTTTTTTTCCTAAAATATTTTGATTGAAGGAATATTTATAAAGGTGGGCAACGCTGTGCTGGTGTGACTAAAAGTTTATTTGGTATGAACTGTATTTTAGTAGTAATCAAATTTTAACAATACAGTAAATAAAAAATTACAAACTTTAATTATCTTGCAAGATGTGTGTCCTAAATGATAAAAAAATTTTGGTGCAACCCAAAATAAATAAAAGCAAATTTTTAAAATGCATTTTGAACTAAAAATAACATCATACATATTTGTATCATAATATCTCGAATGTCAGATTAACTTGATATAATAGAAACAAAAGTATATATTTCAAATTTTTCGCCTGCTGTTTTGCTGAGAACGGTAGAAGTCACTTCGATGTCATACACTTCATATATTTTGTTGAGTAAAGTCTACTTTTACTATTTTAGATTCTTCTAGCTATTTTTCGGGCTCCTTTCTTTTCAAATAACGTCAGATATTGCAGTGGAATTTCTTAACTTCCTTAAAGTTTACATCAAAACGGTGAAAGGATTAAATTTTATGTCATGTTCATCTTTTTCTATTATGATATGTTTTGTTAAGGAAGAAGGAAGATTAATGTTAAATGCTTCAAAATAGTTTATCGAAAATTTTTATATATATTATGTCTATTTAAGTTCTATAAGTAGTAAGACTATTATTATACCAGAACTAAGATGTCAACTTGATTAAGTAAAATGGAACATCTTAAATATGGCATTTTCTAACTGTACGATAAATTCTAAATATACTTTGGTTTATTAAAATATCCTATACCTAATTTTATAATAGTTTTTTTAATTTTTAATTAATTTTACGTCAAAAATGACATTTGCAAAAAGAGGAAGACAAAAAATCTCTCAGCATTAATGCACTTTTTAACGAATTTATTTTGGTTGTTCGTCTTTTAAAAGAGAACTTTCATTATATTAAATTTTATAATTACCTCTGTTACTAGATATTTATAAAAACGTGCTAAAAATAATTTAAAAAGTGTCATTTATGTTTTTTTTTTAAATTTTTGTCTCCTTTCATTCACTAAACAAATAGACAACTTTGCATAAATATTTTCCTATGCTACATCTAATGAAAAATATTTTACAGATCATATCTAGCCTGTTAGTAGCTACTATAGCTGATAGCAAAACATTTTTTGTATTCATAGAACCACAGATAACAACATAACTTTACTCGTATATGTTATCTGTGATAGAGCCTTTTAGTAATAGGAAAATGTATAGATACAAATATTTTGAAACCCATATTTGACAGTTTAAAGCTTAAGCAGTTTGTTTTATTTATTTTTGATGGCGAATAAAATATAACTTTTTTTGTTTGTAGTTTGTAGTAATTTTTTTATAGTTTTTTAAACTACTTTTTATCACATTCTTATCAAAACTGAAATATTAAAATTATTCGGCAATTTTTATCGATAATACGGGGTCCTCTACCGGGAAACAATGCAACCTGTGAGGCCTATAGTATTTAATTTGACAAACTGATTCCTATCAACATTAATACTCATCATCATCATCATTTCCAGCTTATTCAACCATTTCCAATCATGATGTAGCCTCCCTCACATTATTTATCTTTGTAGTTAGGCCCATTGTTGGTTATGTGGGCCCAAGTTATCCCTATTAATTTCCTAATATCATTGTCCCATCTCAGGTTTGGTCTTCTTCTAGGTCTCTTAGAAGACTGCTGTAATTTTTGTGGTCTATATGTTGTCCGTCCTTCTTGCCAGGTGTCCTTCCAGCCACTTGAGGGATTTCATTCGATGGATGACATCTATTACCTGTATTTTTTGTTGTTATTTATGGTTGTGTTTATGGAGACACCCTGAATAAAATACAGGAAGAGGTAAAGCTATAGATCTCGTTATGTTATAAATCACTGAAACTTACGTAAATCAGCCAATAAAAAGATAAATAATTGGAAAGCAATTTTTGAGATTAGCTTCTTTGTACCTGTTTGAAATGATTTGGCCAAATCCTAAACAAACAACCATCGAAGAAAACCCGGGAACAAAACATCGTATAATACTCGCTAAATGAAATACACTTCTCCGTTCATAAGAGATTATTGGGTTTTCCTTTTATTTGCTTTATAAGAAAATAATTTTCTTCCATCGGAGAAATAATGTTAAAGTTCCCCAAGAAATAGACAAATAGTTACATAGTCTGCGGATTTAAAAGATGGAATTAAAGAGAAAAAATACATCATGCCATAAAGGAACAGAAAAGATTTTAATCTGTTTAAAGTAAGTATTTTAACTTTGATATAATAATTTTTAGTGGATGAGAAGTTCAGGCATAACGTGTTTTTTTCTTTATTTAGAATTTTTGATCCTTTAACTTTATAATAAGAAAAAAGACTTAACATTTTTTTTCGTAAGTTTCTAAAAAAATCCTAAAGTAGGTTTAAAACGACAGTATTCAACAATACAGAATTAAATAATTTCTAAATAAATTCGATTAGCTTGAAATTATGGGCCTTTTTGATATCTGGGTTATATTTTCCACTCTTAGCCTTTTTAAAAAAAATCCAAACCAAACCAAACCAAACCTCCATATAGTTATTTGTCAATGGCTTGACATTTCCTAATACAAAAAACTGCACATTTATTTAAATAATTTTTTTTGAGTAGGTCCTGAACAGAAATATTCACAATTTCCATGTCACTTAATTTTTAGTAACAATTGAAATTGAATAATTATGTATATTATAGAGACAGTAGTAGAATATTTCAATGTAAGGTATTAAATTATATAAAAAGACTGTTCGTATATTAGCTCATTTCCATTTAAATACTTTATAGAGAAATTCTCTTTAAATACTCTTAAACGTCTTCCAAATGGATAAATAGTTACATAGTCTTTAGATCTAAGGATAAAATTAAATAAGACGAAACTAGGACGTTTAGCAGGAGAGCACATTTTAATCTGTTTAAAGACAAATTCCTTTGAAAAAAAGATTTCGGGTTTCCTTTTTAAAAGCTCTCACACAAAAAGAAGATATTTCAGGCTAAATATTTTAATCTTCCGAACTCATAAAGGAAATTAAGAAAATTATGCCTATTAAATAATTTATTTGCTGAAAACTACTAAGCGTTTAAGAATCGTGAATGCTTTTTTTTCAAATATAATGGCTTAAAAAAAACGAAGAATAGTTTACTCGCATCCACAATAGGAAACGTTTCAAAATCTTGCATGTTTTGAATTTGTAATGTGAGTTTCATAATTACTTCTTGTAAATGTTTAGATATTCGTCTTGTACTGACATCTGCTTCATTACGTATTGAATCGGTGGCTTCGTGGAATTGTTCGCTATTAATTAAAGAACAACCGCTACCATAGACTCAGAAATAATGCATTTAATGCATCTATTCTATGTGACATATTCTCATTTATATTCAGTTAATAAGTAGTCAAAAATTGAATGTAATATTATGTAATGCAATACCTATTGTGATTTAATTCATCATGTTAATATTAATTAATTGTTAAATTTGTAATACTTTGAAGAATTCGTTCTGTGTCATATTTTTATAATATAACGGGTGCGTCTCAAAAGTGGCTCACATGTAACTTTTTTATTTTTTCATATAAAAAAACAAGTTTTGGTATGTTAGAATATAAAATAAATTAGGATTGATTGACGTATTCAATTTTTTTTTGCTACTTCCTGTTTCATCGGGAATTACTACAACTTTTGATTTTTAAATGGCATCCTCGGTATTTGTGTACTTTATTCGATAGAAAATGACACACTGAATAGAATGAACTGAAGAATGACTGAATGAATGACATTTTCGAATATGGTTTATTGGAAATTGCAACATGCGATTCATAACGACAATTTGACTAGAAATACCGAGTGTGTAGCATCAAATTATTCGTAAAAAATGCTTTTTCCAAATATGCTAATGACCCACCCTCGTTCCATTTGAAAAAATTGGCTCCGGGAGGCACGTATAGCCGCCCATACTAAAATATGTTAATATCTCAAAAACTGCGACTTTGACTGATTTTGATGTTATTACAAATTTTGTTGAAATTATTCTTCCTAATCTTAATTTGAAAACCGCGTTTCGCTAGCTACTGTAATTTTGGAGTTACGATTTTTTAAAATTTTTAACCCCCTCCCATACCCCCTTACCAACCCCCCACCCTCACCAAAAACTAATGGCCAGATTCTCGGGTGCCACGGTATTTTTGTGCCAAATTTGGTTAAAATCGGTTTAGCGGTTTTTGAGTTATCGTGTTACAGACGGGCGGACGGACGGGCTGACAGACAGACAGACAGACGGACAGACAGACAGACAGACAGACAGACACCATAAAAATATTTTGTATTTAGGTCATTTGTGACCCAAATAACTCATTTTGAGTAAAATTAAAAAAAATTTTTTTTTGCCGAACTTAATAGCCTACCATACCTATTGGTATGGTCGGCTAAAAATCGAG